CCCTAGACCCTAAACCTAAAGCCCTAAGCCCTAAACCCTAAACCCTAAACCCTAAACCCTAAAGCCCTAAACCCTAAAGCTCACCAGAGCCTCCAGGCTGTGGCTGCCAGCTCCAGGTGGTTAAACTGGCCAACCTACAACAAGATGCAGGGGCTTTTCGATGTTTGAAGCTTGGAGGCCCAAAGTTAGGGTTGAGGGTTTGGGGTTTTGGGGGAGACCCAAAGTTAGGGTTTAGCGTTTAGGGGGTTTAGGGTTTAGGGTTTAGGGTTTACGGGGACGTGTATGTAAACTTTTGGCCTGGGGGGCGTGGCATTGGTCTTAGGGGCTTTGGGAAGTAAGGTTGCCAAAGGTGTCGAAGAAAAGGTCTGAATAGACAGTAGTAGTAGTAGTAGTAGTAGTAGTAGTAGTAGTAGTAGGAGTAGTAGTAGTAGTAGTAGTAGTAGTAGTAGTAGTAGTAGTATCGCCTTATAGCCCATACTCGGCTCTACACACTACAACATACCCAAAACCATATTCTAAATGTCAAAGCCCGAATGCTTCGGGAAGAAACAGGTTGGAGCTCAAAAGCATCGCGGCATACCGCGCAACTCGGCGAATGAACTTCAAAGATCAATCATAAAAGCATTTTGGAACCCTCGAAAACTCTTAAAGACCCGTCTAAGGAACCCCACAAAGAACCGTATGGAACAACGGTCGCTCGTGTGCTTGGGAGTTTTGTTTTTTTCAGCCAGTCGTCGGGTTGTGAGGCCTAGAGGTTATTGGGAGCTTCAGAGAATGCTACTATGGGTTTTTTGTTTCCCTCTCGCATTACTGAGAAACTATGCTCACGGCGAGGTCTGCTTCGGAAAGTGTGTGAACAAAGTGACGGATTCTACTGTGTATTTCCAGTTTGCGCTATGTTGCTGTCAGGCCGGCTAAAGCGTTAAGGGTTTAGGGTTACTACTAATTGCTACTTCTACCACCAGCATCATCATCGCGACTGCTACTAGCACTGCAACGCAAACTCTACTGGTGATGGCATTCTTCGGCGAGGACCATGCTAATATCACCCCCAAGCCGCTTAACTCAGAATCCCGAGGGGAGGCCTGTTTCGCAACCGCACGTGCAACAACCTGAACAAGAAGCTCGCTTTTTGTGCTTCCGTCTGTTTGCATACAGGGTTTGTGGGTCATACGTTTAGGAGAAAGGTTACATATGGGCAGTTGTCAAAATTATGGTCCCTTTTGGGGTACCCTAAATAATAGGTGCCGTATTAAATAAGGATTCAAAAAGGAACCATAATTTTGACAACCACCCATATAGAAGTTTAGCAGGATTTGGGGGTCTGCAGTTCCAGGAGTAGTCAGTAAAAGTGTGGTTCGGCATGGAGCTTTCGGGAGAGGCTCTTTGAGTTAGGATTTAGGGTTTAGGGTTTAGGGTTTAGGGTTTAGGGTTTAGGGCTGTGGTCCAGTGTTTGCCCCGCTATGGCTTGAGATTCCTGAGCCCAAACCCCTCAACACACCTTAACCCTAACGCTTCAACCCATGCTGGACACTGGAGAATCACGGTAGAATCGCTACCGGAGACCCTGGTAGAGACGCCTCCCCTAAAGTCAGGCAAGTCTATGTGCTGCATAGGCGTTGAGACCTTTAAACCCAAACCCAAATTGAAGAACAGGCCTATATACTCCGATCGGCTATCCCGAGAACCCTAAACCCTAAACCCTAGACCCTAAACCCAAGCTCGGACACCGAAGTCTGAATGTCACCAACCAGTGAACCCTGAACCCCCAATTGAATTGGTTTAGGGTTTAGGGTTTAGGGTTTAGGGTTGAATCCCCGCCGAAGACATCCCCTGCATCAGGATGCAGCTCTAAACCCCACACCCCTCTACTCGCCAAATCCCTGAACCCCAAGCCCAATAAGCCCTAAATCCGTAAACCCTACAAATCCTACAACCCCGTTTTTTGCGGATGGAACTCTTTGGTGCTCTGCCAGGGTGCTCTTCATACATTGCGTTTCGAAACCCTAAGCTCCAGCGAGCCTGCAGAAAGATGTCGCCCCGCAATCGCGCCACGGCAGGTCTTCATGTCACGTTGGCCAGGTCCTTCTCGAATTTTCTGTGTCCTACCTGTAGTCTCCATCGTAGTTCCCTTTTTTGGTTTAACCAACTATAGATTAAGGATTTTACAAGGTATCCCCAAAAAGGAACTACAATGGAGACTATAGGTATGGGATTCTCGGGGCCAAACGTGCAAACACCCTCAGCTGAGTCCAAGCTGGGTAGAATAATACTGTCCCACGAAAGGGTTTCGACCCCCGCTAAAAGGATTTTAGGGCACTAGCCCCACTTACTCTAAGCGTTCAAGCCCCTCAGCCTCACAACACAAGACGGATCCCACAAGAACAGGAGACATGGCTTTGGCCACCCGACCTAAACCCTAAACCCTAAACCCCGAAACCCTAAATCCTAAACCCTAAACCTTAACCCTAAACCCTAAACCCTGGAGCTCAAAGCTTCAAGATGTCACCATCAGGAGCGCAATTTGAGGCCTTAATAAGAGGGTGTTAGGGTTTAGGGTGTAGGATTTAGGGTTTAGGGTTTTTGGTTTTAGTAATTGAGATAGTCTTCATTACGCTTCTTAGGGAGGCACTGAGGAATAGTACTATGTATATTCAGGCTTCTGTATTAAAAAATCATAAACCCAACGTCTACAAGTCTCCAGAGTAGGGTTGTAGGCTTGTTTGGCTTGCGTATAGGGTGTATACACCGACACGGAGTTAAACTAGACTCCATGTCCCACAACCTGCAAAACTTTGCACAAAGCCGTCGGAGTTTTGATGCAGGAGCCTTTTGCGAAATGCTAAGCCAAAACGTCAAAAAGGCTCTCGGAATCATAAAATGACCGTTCACCACGTCAAGTGCACAACCCCCCGTTACAATTACAGCAAGGATCTGCGTGGTTCCTACTACACGGACGCAAACAGAGTGGAGGTTGTGAATCAGGGGTCTACATCAACAACTAAAGCTGTATATACAACACCTGCCAAGTCAAAGCATTGGCGACGGCCTCTTCGCATTAAGCTAAGCTTGCCCACGTTAAGGGGTTTGCGACTCTTGCATAGAGTTTAAGGGTTAAGGGCATGGACCCGCAAGTCAGCAGACTTGATCACCCGACTTAACTGAACATAGAAACTAGTGGAAGTAGGATTTACTGGAAGCTGAGCTAAGCGGCTGGCTCTACCTACACCTGAGCTATCACCTTCCACCAGCCCTCAAATCCCGACCAAACGCGAAACCCTGAAAACGGACCCCTCAGCTCCCAAACCTTAAATCCTAATGAAACTATAAATGCATGACCCCGAGACTGTAGACCCTCCCGGCTTGATCCTGAAAGCCCAAGCCCCTAGAAACCCGAAAGCCTCTTAGTTCTCCTTTTGGGACAATGTAAAGGCATGCCCAAATCCTGGGTCGAGGTCTTCTGGTGGGCACAACGTGTCCCTTATATGGGCTCTGTAAGAAGCAGCTGAGTAAACCCGGAGGCCACTGACCCGGAACGCGCAAACCTATGAACTCCCAAACCCATTAGCTCGGGAAACTTCCATCCCTAAACCCTAAACCCTAAACCCGGGTTTCTGGTGACCTTGCAGCGTTAGAGTAGGCTGAAGGCTTTGAGTGCACACCACATTCTACCATAACCCTAAACCCTACGTATACTGTAGGCCCCCTTGGTAGTTCCTGCTTTGTGGCTTTGTATTTAGGATCCTATCAGGTAATCCCAAAAAGGAACTCCTAGGGGGCTTATGGGTAAACCTAAACCCTAAACCCTAAACCCTAAACCCTAAACCCAGATGTCTCTGTTATTTTCTTGCTCCTGAGAGTTGAAGTTGACCTCTCGGCAGCGTGCAGCCGAAGAGGCCGCCTCTCGATATCAGGTGGAATATAGGGGCCTTAACGACTATAGATTTGGGCTTAAGGGTACATCATAATCTAGATTATGTTGAGGAACACCCAGGACACAAGATAGTATTGGTATTTATGGTCAGGTTGTACTGTCAATCCCTAAACCCTAACCCTAAACCCTAAACTATTTGAGCCACGGCCAAAACCCTAACCCCCGAATCCCGACCTGTCTTAGCACTGCCTGCGTGCGATCTTGGCAACTGTTAAGGGTTTAGGGTTTAGGGGTTTAGGGTTTTAGGGTTTAGGGTTTAGGGGCCCTGTTGTAGCTGGACTCGGGCAGGACTGGATGCCCAGAAACGTGGTCAGCGCAACCGCTGTGAAGCTCTGCCTCAAACCTCCGCATGCCGTGCTCGATAGCCAGGCAATTTCAGTGGCAAGCGGGAACCTACGTGAGGCGTGCACACTAGTTTGACCATTGCAGCCTCAGTCCTGAACCCTTTAACAAAGGCCGTTTCAGCATACCTAGACTTTGTATACGGCATACTTCACGCTGCACCCGATTGCTGATTCATAAACACCAAAACCTTTACTAAAGCCTACACCCAAAACCCTCCACTCTAAATTATTCTAAAGACAAAAAAGCCCAAACCTTAAGCCGATTACATAATCTAATCTAAACCAAGCCTGACCTGTAACCTCCTTGATAGAACCCTCGAAGGAACCCATTTCATGTAAGGTTTAGGGCTTTTAGGGTTTAGGGTTTAGGGAAACCGTTTCATGTAATGGTTTAGGGTTTTTAGGATTGAAGCAAGACTATGCAGCGGGTGCTGGGGTATCCCCTCATCTTTCAACAGACGGC